TACAAAATACATTTACTGCAAAATTTGAAGCAGTGTAGACCAATACAAGTATCAGCCCTTCAATAAGACATATCTGGTTGCTCCCTCGTTTAGGTGGGAAAATGCCAACATTCATGTGCCTTCAAGGGGCATAAATCCAGGAAATTGAGACATTCGTTTAAAGACAAGTTATATTTTTCGACCACTAACATTGTAAGAACAAAACAAAATTCTGATAACCAACTATAAAAAACATTAATCGCCTTTCTGCTGTTGACATTTCCTGAACACTTAAACATGCCAGGTTTTGCAAACGTCAAACCAAGCCGTGATTGAATGATGCCCCCCAACGGATGACGAGAAGCAAGACTTTGTTTCATGTGGCCTATTAGCTAACAGAATAACTACGGTAGTGTTCTTCCAGACAGGTAGACAACCACACAACTTCAAACTCGGAATTTGTGATCAAAGACATGTCTTTCAATTTCACTCAAAAAATCATTTCAAGCCTATAAATTGGACTCCATACTGACCTTCAGTAACCTTTGTAACAAATCAACATTACTTCAAAGACCTGTCAATACGCAATAGACATCTCTTTGTCATGTTGTCTATTTGAATAACAAGTGGTGTGTACTTGGTCACCGACATATGTCAATATCATGTATATATCATGTACATATCACAGAGATAATGTATTTTACGATGCATAGGAAAATACACCTGAACATAATGATCATGCTGTGCAGTCTTTGGACCGAGGTGAGGTGGACAGGGGTTACCATCACGTTCAAGATTATTTCACTTATGTATGAATGTGCATGTATGTCGGAGTGTTGGTGCTTGTACCAGCCTGGCCTAATGTTGGTATTATAGACATGATAGACACTGACAATTTGAGCATGATATTAGGGCTGGGACAGATAACTCGGGTACCCAGGTAGGGTGGTTACTGAGTAGGACCCGGTACCCACAGGACTACCCGGACCCGTGGTTAGTCACGTGATATATTGTTTAATGACAAAAAGTATCTAGAACTCTATGGTTACACTACAAGTCACATATAAATGTTCGCATTTCTTTCTGACTATGCCCCCATTCCTACTGACTTTTCATATGATTGAATAAAGATATAACTTAAGCAATGTTAAGTCAACTTCAGTGTATGCATGACCAGATCGTTTAATACATGTATCTAAACACGTTTTGCCAGGGCTATGGTAAAAAAATGTCCAATCATACATTTTGTACCTATCTCTTGAGCCCTACAGTGACTACCCAGGTAGGGTTAGGTAATAGGGGGATGGGTACCTGGGTAGTAAATTAGGACTCGTCCCAGCCCTACATGATATAAACAAAGTTATGGTAAAATAAACTTGATTAAAAACATACTTTTTCTATCTTGACCATGTTGTTATCGACAGCACCTTAAAAATGCTGTGACAAGTGAGAAATGTTTGACACTATGTACGATGCACTCAAGATACTGCAGCAATATCTTCATGGCTAGGGCGGTCGGGAAGCCTAATGGTTAAAGCGTTCGCTCGTCACGCCGAAGACCTTGGTTCGATTCACGACATGGGTACAATGTGTGAAGCCCATTTCTGGTGTCCCCTGCCATGATATTGCTGGAATATTGCTTAAAGCAGCGTAAAACCATACTCACTCACTCACTTCATGACCAAGTTCTGGTACTTCCACTAGCTGTCATGATCATGCCAATTATGATGAAATATCAAACTCAGGGTCTTTAGCTTGGAAACAATTAACAAGCCAAAGAATACAAAACCAGAAACCTGTTCCAAACAAAAATGTTACAGAAATCATGTGTTAATTATGTTATTATCATCCAAAATACGCAAATTCTCTAGTATTTCATGGTTGGATATAAATAGCATAATATTAACAGTGCCAGTGTTCCTGCCTACAATATCCAATCTTTGCTCTAAAATTCAATAACAAATGATTCAGGGCTGGGATTCACCTGCAAAATGAAAGAATATAAACTTGCAAAATAAAAATACTGTAACGGGATACGAATCATACACACCTATAGTATCGGGATACGTATTGTATCATGACCCCACCGTACTATCGTATCGTTACACCTCTAATTCCATCGCCCACGGAAAAAGACTTAGCAACAAGACATGAAAAGAAACTATTTTAACACTTTGGGACATGACATTAAATACCACATTACGGTTGCTTAATCACTAACCACCATATCATGCTGATGGGAATCCAAACAATGCTAAACAAAGGTTCTATGGTACCTCAATTTCATAGAAATCGAACTAGCCTCAACAACTATAACAGCCACATAACCTAATAATGGTCAATGATATTATTAACAAAAAGCTGCAATGAAGATTGCATGACAGGGCTTTAAATAGAGTTTATTACCATAATCTTCTTTCACTTGCTAAAAGCACCATCGATCAGGACGCTTAGTTTGGGGGATTGTTGCAACCATTATCATGAGTATCACATCAACATGATCAAATAGATAATCATTGAAATGTGATGGTAAATTTACAGATTTTGAGGATTTAGGCAATAAAATGCTACACAAAAGATGCTTTTTTCCATCAAACTAATAAATTCAACATGATCAATCCATGTAATACTGATTACTATTTTTACTGAAAATTACTAATTTCAAACTGCCTCAATTTTGGGTGGGCATCTCTGGGTGCAATGTAGCTGGGTATTTTTTGAGCACAACTGTGCCATAGTGTGAATACCATACTCCCTATATTAGACGCCTGGCCTCTGCTGGCCTCTAAATGAAGCTGCATCACACAAAGACGGGACCCCATCCAAATAACAGAGTCTGAGTCACTAATAGAGGCAGGGTCCATCACTTGGTGAAAGTAATGATCTCTATCACAATAACTTATGGCATGCAATGATTACTTCCCTTCAGACCCGTGAAGATCCGGGGTAGAATAGCTCTTCAGCAACCCATGCTTGTTGTAAAAGGTGACTATGCTTGTCGTAAGAGGCGACTGATGGGATCAGGTGGTCAGGCTCGCTGACTTGGTTCATGCATGTCATCGATGCCTATTGCATGGATCGATGCACATCATGTCAATCACTGGACTGTCTGGTCCAGACTCAATGATTTACAGACCAAAGTCATATAGCTGGAATATTGCTGAGTGTGGTGTTAAACAACAAACAAACAAACTTCCCTTCACCATGTTCACTTCTGTTATCTCCACGTGTCTTTATACGACTAGTATCTAGGATTGGGTAAGGTTGTGAGTTGCCACTGTGCCAGCATTAAACAGCATATATATATGCTGGCCTGCAATAGATGCTGAGTCAATGGCTTGCACAAAATGAATAGACGCCTAGACGTCTAATTGAGGAAGTACAGTAATTTATAACCATTGTTTAATTAAATTCAAAGCCTGGAAATCTTCATGACATTTTGCACATAAACCCTAAATTATACTGATAACTATTGCTGATATGTCAAAAGAAATTCTGTTTCATGTTTGATATGAAAAACATGAGATTCAGCAAATGTTCGGCATGGCGACATTTATATTGATATTATCACTGTCACTGTCAGAGAAACAAATATAGTTTATTTCAAGTGTGCCCTCTAGAAAGGGAAGAATACTTTTCAATGACAAATGGAAATAGGTTCATTGAATTTATGTTCATTAAACAAATTCACATGTTCATGATTTCCAACACTAAAAAACAAAAAACATCACAAGACACTACTACAGGGTTTTACCAACAAAACTAGGGATCCAGCGGACCCCCAAATACTAATTTCAAGGGTCCTTACAGGAAATATAAGGATCCTGTAAAGTAATGAAATGATCCAGTGTACTTTACTGTAAGATTTAACAATTACCTTAATTGCAGGAACTTTTAATATCATCTCCAGAATTTGTTATGATGAATAGTATTGTATAACCTTGGGACGCATTATATATTTTTTTACAATCCATTCTATACATTGTGCCTAAAGTACTGGATGCACATTTCTGCGTGGCGTGCTTCTGTTTACAAAAATCTGATTCAAAGTGTGCCTAAATATTCATGATATCATAACCATGATCATGATAACGTAATTATAGCAACAGTCCTCATGCAAACTCTTTCCAGTATAATTGTATGCCAATTTTAGCAGTATCAACATGAGGGACACCAGAAATGGGCTTCACACAATGTACCCTTGTCAGGAATCGCGCCCAGGCCTTCCTTATAGTGTGCAAACACTTTAACGACAAGACGACCCCACAGCTGTGACACTGTTTAAAGTTGACAGGGCTCTTTGACATTTTCTTTTCCAAGTAATTTAATCAAGGAACCATCTAAATATTTAATTATGAATTATTTGGGCAATATGACAAAGATCCCTTGATCATCTGATGAATTCCATCTTTTTATTTGAATATAGCATAAAACTTGAAGATAGAAAAAAAATCACTTTCTCTCAACATGACCAGTATATGGTTTGGTGTTTTGGGTGGCCTTCTAACATGTCTAATTAATGTCATAAGCATGGCATTTTTTACACAAGCATCTCTCTGACAATAATTAATGCTGAGAAGACAATAAAGCATCCAACACAAACATCAGCACATTTTAAATTGTTTGATTGGAATAAAGCTTTCCACTACTTTAATCACCTTCCTCGAAATACATGATTTTGTTTCATGCTCTCCCCCAGAACCTTTCGCCTCACTCTCAATATTTTTTCCCAGAATGTTCTTAATGTGTAATTCTCAATGTTTCACAAGAATTTTAACTGAACAAAAGTTCAATTTTGGAGTAAATTAATGAATTCCTCCAGTCCTATTGAATGTAAGCAAACTTTGTTTTCTGCAGCCTTTAACTTTCTCTCTTAATCGTGTTTATACTTGCAAAATGTACGGTTTATCATTAGTCTATTGTAAAAGGCTTTTGACAGCACAGCACAGTTGGGCCTATCAGCTGTATTGTAATTTAATATTTTTAGCAACAGAACTCTGGTCGTATTAGCAGATACTTACCAAGAGTAGTATGGTTAAGAATATGTACACCTTCAACTTCAAGTCCGTTTTCTGGACTTGGATCGCTGTCTTTCACTTCCGATTTTCCTGAGTGTTTTCGGTTTTTACGTTTCTTTTTCGTCTTTTTAGGTTTCCCGTCAGCTGTCAGTTTCTTTTGACCAAGTTTGACACTTTGTTTAGGATCCATTTTCTATGAATTTGACAAACAGTACACGAAACAAGTTAGAGAGACTCCCATACGTATCATCCTTCTGGTCTAACGGAATAAACGAGAGGAGATCAGCATGATAACACCTGTAGCTTTCCGGCTGTCATTTCACGTTTCGATGTTTACAGTGCCGAACAACAGATTCGTCATTCCTCCGCGTTTTAAAATAGAACTGTTAGAGTGGTGCGATTTATTATGAACGTAACCGTAAATAACACACCTATGAGTACAAATGGCATATGAGTGGTACAGAATACACCAAGAGATGGAAAGGAAAACAAGTATATTTCTCAGATGAAATTCATGATATGCGTAGTGGTAAACTGTATCCAAGGGCGTACTATTTTCAAAATGGAAGCCGGCGCGGGAGATTCGGAAAGTGCACCCGCAGAACCGGCGGAAAACATTTATGATTCACAAGATCTATGGAGTGATGAAGATGACGCCCTACTTGTGGCATCTTCTGACACTCGTCAGTACTTCAATTTGGTTAATTTGTTCTATGTCATGATAAATCTTGACGAGATCATAATTCGGTTTGTTTTGTTCAGTTTTCGAGCACCACAGTCAGCGTGTGTTTTATTTTTTGCGACAAACAGCCGACAAATCAGTACAATATATTTTAAGAAGGTTAATAGAAACAATCAGTAGACTATATTTGCTTCAGCAGTTTGTTTTCTATGCACAACCTATCAAGGTTACTTTGGTTTGCATCGAGACATCCAAGCAAGATTTTTATCAAGGTTTATGAAAAGGCCGATTAGCCTAATTAACCAATAAATGATAAATAAATAGAGTATACCCGTATTCGGCGAGTCATTAACTGTTGGCGTTGCAAATGGGATCGACTGATTGATCTTGGAGGGGGAGCAGATGATGCTGTCCAATTAATGTGTCTTCAGCCCCTAGTCTTACCAAAAGGAAATGGTTCACCGCACATGCTCGCTGTCCTGACAAAAATGTTTTTTGTAAAAAAATAAAATTGTTTAGATCCTCCTTGTTTTGAATCAGTGACTGTAAACATATTCTGTCTCTAACAAAAATCCCATACCATAAACCCAAAATGAGTACAGTCAGCTTATATTAGTGGTCCATAATTCCATTAAATTTTACTGAAAGTAATACCATAATACAAGGGCTGATTGAACTGAAGTAATCATTTACATGTATAACGGATAGATTCATATACTTCGCATTAATTGACTTAGCTGACAATTGAAGTGGTGTTAGGGTAACCGGCATCATATATATTAGGACTGCCAGTAGTATGAGTTTGGTCCCCCCTCTTAGGTCTTTTTATTGATTCTTCCTAGAGAGCAGAAGTTCGGTGGTTCAATCCCCAGGCCACATCATACCAAAAGTTGTGAAAAGATGGTACTTGTAATTAATATACACTCACATGAATAACCAGTCCAATCCTAATGTTACTGGTTATTTCCGTCAAACAGGACACTGATAATGTGTCTTGAGTGGGGTATCAATGTTAAACTGCAGCATGGTATCTCTGGTCTGGCACTGTAAAACAGGCAAAACTCTGGACTAGTACAAGCAGCCACACGCGTATAAGTGAATTAATCTTGAACAGTTCAGTCTCATTAAAGTCAGATCTTAGTTCTCGCTGCCGCAAAACAAAGATCTGAGGACATCACATTACGGGTCACGTCAGGCCGACCTTTCACGAACTCTGACCGACCAATGGAATTACTTACAAGAAGTTGACATTAGCCAATCAAAAGGCATCTTTCTCGTGCTTTACGGCACTAATTTCAAATTTGCAAGTACGCTTCCAAACATATTTTGACAAATTCTCGCTTAAAAATTTGAAACCTGAACAAAAGAACATTCTGGAATGGCTAATACAGTCAAGTCTCGTTACTCCGACACTCGTTAATCCGACAGTTGGCTTTATCCAACACTAATGATGTATATGGTCTAGAATGTATAGATTCAGTCGTCCAGAATACTCCGTTTTAAAGTTTTCAAGGCTGCATGATTAGAAATCACATTCCGACTGTCACTTTCATGATCTGGTAAGCGACGCTTTGATTGGTCTGATAAAAGGTCATTCTGACGTGACCCCTAATGGGATGTCCTCAGATCTTTGTTTAGCGGTAGCGAGAACTAACATCTGATTTTAATGAGATTGCATCACAGTTTAAACCCAAGTTCACCTCACCTCACCTTCTTCTCCAACAGATGCTTGTGAAGAAATCCTTTCCAAAGCATCAAAAGCTGCTGAGATCACTAAAGTACCTGACAGTGAACATGATGATCCTCAGACAAGCAGCAGAGACTCTGGATGCACAGTTCAAGTGAAGAGACTACCTTGGGCTGAACGCAATCCACTCCAGAAGTTCCGACCAGGCTACTTGTGGGTGTCAGACCTGACAAGACAGCACTGGTGTGAGCAGATGATGCTGTATACCTTCACTGTCCCCACAATACCTGTAGAGAGCCCTGTCATGACTGCTGGTAGTAATCTTCATCTGGCCAGAGGTATATATACCTGGTATTACTTTGCATTGAGGTCAGTTACGGTGATTGTTCCAGAGGGTAGGTGATGGGACCATGTTATGCTGGTTGATTAAAGCCACACTTGCAATATTCCAGCTATATGACAGCAGTCTGTAAATAATCAAGTCTGAACCAGACAATCCAGTGATTGACATCTTGAGCATCGATCCATGCAATTGGGATACGATGACATGCATGAACCAAGTCAGCGAGCTTGACCACCTGATCCTGTAAGTCGCTTCTTACGACAAACATTTGTTGCTGAAAACCAATTTTAACCTGACTCTTCACGGGACGGGCCATATTATGGGGTTCATTGGTGGTGATTGTGATGATTCCATTAATAGTTTTACAGACAGTATAACGAAAAAGAATTCGGGATTCATTGTCTTTCTCACAGACCCCAGGGCATACATTTGATAATCAAATACCCTGTTCCATTTAACATCTTTCCATTCTCAGCTCTAACAGCCCAAACTAATCCCCTTTTCTGATCAGAGACTTGAGGTTTCATAAATTGTTTATACTTGCAGGTTTCTTTATAGGGTTGTCTTCAGTTAGGAACTATATCAGGAACTCTTAGCCTGAAGGATTCACTATGGGTTTGATTATTAACCTCATTATTGCCCACTGTGTTTATGGATGATAATAATAATGGATATTTCTAATGCACTGTTGAAACATGCTCAAAGCGCTTACAACATTATTACCCTGCCCAATTGATCAGTGTGTCATCAATTTTCTTTCTCAGCTCCCTAGGGAGTATACATCCCAAGCTGCCTGTAAGGCGCAATAAGGTCACCTAACCTTCTCATCCTACCGTGTATCTGTTCACTGCTGGGTGAACAGATGCATAATTTGAACAAAGTTGCTTGCCTAAGGAGACATTCACATGTATTAAATGTGCTTCAGTTTTGGGCAGGATCTAAGCCCTAGAAACTCTGGTGAGTCAAGCTGTGACACACAGTCATTCATACAACTACCTTTCTTGACCAACGTTGCTTAACCTTACCTGATTTTATGCCCTGTGTCCTGTGCCCTGTGCACAGGACCACATGCCACCAGGCTTGTCACAAGAGCTGACTAAAACAAATTATGCTTTTATTGCTACAGTGTGTGACCTGGTTGATAATCAGTCATTGTGGATTGTTACTCATGCTGTCAACCACTAGTTCGCCACACCAAGACTTAATTATTTACAGGTTGCTGTGATATACCGGTAGCTGAAATATGTCTGACTGCTATATCAAACCATTTTGCTCATCACTATTGTTATTAATATCATTATCCAAGAAATGTTGAAAGATTAAGTCATTTCTGTTTAGCAGGGTGTTGGGGTAGCCTAGTGGTTAAAGTGTTGGCTCATCATGATTCAGGCCCGAGTTTGATTCCCTTCATGGGTACAAGGTGCGAAGCCTGTTTCTGGTGACTCCTGCTGCAATATTGAAAAAAGCATTATGAAACCATGCTCATTATCTTCTCTCATTCCTGCACATTTTTTTTGTTCATTTTTAAATGTTGTATTTTTCAGAACTTGCTGTCCATAGTGTTGTCCAGGTTAAGGTGACCTCTAGCGAGGACATCTGGGCTACTAAGGTCATCAACCTATTCATGACAATTCAAGGTTTTCTCAATGGGATTAATGTAGCCCGAGAAATTCCAATTTTCGGTGCTCCATTTGACAAGGATGTGTTCATCGTTGGACTCATAGATGAACTGAGATTTGACCCAGATTCATACACCATTGATCTCCTTGAACTCAAGACGAGGAGTGTGAGGTCATGTCCTAAGATAGCCCAACAGAATCAGAACAAGCTGCAAGTTATGCTGTACAAGAAACTGTTTGATGATTTAGTCAAAGGCAGAGTTTCAAAAGAAACTGTTGCCAAACATTTAAGATTAGACCTTGAGAAACCTTTTGGGGAAGACATCATGGGTCATCTTGATTCCAAATTTTTAACCGCTAAAAATTTAAATGAACTTTTGGATTTTGTTTTCATACGAATTCAGTCATTAACATGTATTAGCCAATTAAGTATCGAGTATGTGCTCCAAGACACTAATGAAAGCTTGTCTCAGAATCCAGTAGAGTATGATGACAATGAGCTGAAAGCAACATTTGAACATTTGTTGCAATTCTGGCAAGGACAACGGGAGGTTGAAGGTGTCGAGATTGAGGATTCGTGGAAGTGTCAGCGATGTGACTTTGCTGATGTGTGTGAGTGGAGGGAGCGGAAAGCCCAGGAACATTCACACAAGAACACAGCTAAGGCAAAACTTAGGAAAAAAATGCAAGTGTCAGTAGAAAATAATCTTTTATAGTCACTTTCTACTTCCAAGTGGAGAACTGGTAGCCCAGTAGTCGAAATTGTCTCCCTTACATAAGCCAGGATCCACAGGTCCTAGGTTATGATATTTTGTTTGCCAGCACCATACAGAGCTACAGATAAGCTGCTTATTTGCGTAAAATACTCCCCAAAAATATTCAAAACCCAATTACTTTCAATCATCTTGCGTATAAAAACGTGTGCATTAAATGAAAAACTCCAACATGTAAAAACAGCAAGCATAAATACCCAATGAAGCTTTTGTATCATGCATACAATGGATCAAATTTCCGAAAAACAATTATGAGCTAATTTACTTTCTGAGTCAAGCCTATATATTTAGAACAGTTACATACATCTAAAACATTATTATTATTTTTAAAATCTTAAAATGTTCACTAATTTGGGGAAAAACCCAATAGAGTGATGAATGGATGAGTGAAATAATATTGGTTACCCAATGAAAAATGTTATAATGCAATTAAAATAGAAACCCTAGAGTAAACACTCAGTTGCTCAAAAAGTTATCTGGAGCTCTGACCATACCAGTTGTCATGGATTTCACCAAAAGGGTAAACCTTCATGACCTGTGTGTCTTTTCCTCCTAAACTAAGCTGAGGCGCTGTGATATAACTCTTGGTTCCCTGATTAATGTCGATTTTTTGGTGTTCGTATTATGTGCTTGTGAGGTAAAGGATACCAGCGTTGTATAGACAATGACACATGGACATTAGTGGTCTGGTACCTTAAAAGAACCAGACATCTGTTTGATCACCATCTTCCTGAGGCAAAGAGTTAACTGACTTTGAAAGTCCAGTTTCCACCCTTGCCGAACTAGGCTTGAATTCCAGGGCTCGATCGTAGCGCCACCAATGGTTATTATGAGTTATGTCCCTTTTTAGCCTCTCCTATGGGCCAATCAGATTCTATCTCTTGTATCACTTGCGTTTGTTTCGAACAAAACAGCGGCACCCAGTCAAGACGATCTGTTTGATAATCAAGATCTATATTGTGATAAAACGGGTCTTACATTGCGAAGTGCATCGAGTCAAGTGAGCACCTTGATTAGAAACATGAAAAGAATTGGACATTATCTGTTGACGAGTTAGCGGTGCACATGTTTTGCAAATCCTGCAATCGACCAAAATCTGCACAACAATTTACTAACCGGATTTCAATTTTCGGTGCACGATTTTGATAGGACTATGCATAGACTCGTTAGTCCAGCCAAAATGTAACTCCATTATCCTGTCCTGCCTTGTTCGGCAAGGGTGGAAACTGGACTTGCATAGTCAGTAAACTCCCTTGCCTCGGGAAGATGTTTGATCACCAAATGATCAGATGGCTGACACATAAAAATGTTTGATCTATATTTGTAAAAAGAACTGTACAAGCATAGGTTGCTGAAGACCAATTCTAACCCGGATCTTCACATGGTTACAAAGAGGGGAAATGGGGTTTAGTGTTACGTCGAGTCAGTCAGCTACCCTGACCACCCGATCCCGTTAGTTGCCACTTACGACAAGCATAGTCGCCTTTTACGGCAAGCATGGGTTGCTGAAGATGTATTCTACCCAGAATCTTCACAGGTCGTTTCCATTAGTGGTAGCATGACATCGTAGTTGAACTGTTGTTGACAGACAACATTTTAGCAACCTAGAACTGACCATGTTAATCGCCCTATTGTTATTGTTACACTTGCACCGATCCTGTGGTTCTCTGTGGTGTTACTTTTCTGAATTATCATGCATTAGGTGGTTGCTGCATTTTGGTGATTCCAACATGATTAATTCAGTACCAAATGACTTCCTGGTCATGATTCACACATCATGTCCCTGCATTGGTTACAACATATAAGGCCCCAGTAAAGCTTTTAAAACGTTTTATGATAGACATGTTGAGGACATTTCACAATTTGATGCATAGGTGACCAAAATTATGTTCGATGCAATTTCCTCTTTTGACTTGAACCATATGTTCCCATGTGTTTTTCATGAGAAGAATTTATTTGCATGTGTTTGTGACTGCTGTCACCGGAGGGGCAGGGTATGCTCACCTGTTTATAACACCTGGTATTATCATTATTTGATGGTGATGCATTTTGTTAAACACATGCATATGATATTGTCGGAATCGTGCAATCAACCCTGCTTTCCACAGAGATTTATTATGAATATGGAAATTGTTTTGTCGCTTTGTGAGTTTGTTGATTGTGTATTTTGAGGTATAGTGATGAATCCTTCTTAAAGGCCTCCTAGGGGCTGGGATTTTTTGTTTGAGAACCTTTTTCTCTGAAAGGAAAAGCCAAACAATGATTTAACATCTCTCAATGGACTCTGAGGGTGGTCGGATAGCTTAGTTGTTAACGCGGGTTTTCCAACGTAAGTACAATATGTGAATCCCATTTCTGGGGGTTCTGTTGTATCCTTGGACTGTTACTAAATGTGGTGTAAAACACCATTCAGTCAATGTATTCTGGTCTGTGAGGTCTTGATACTGAAGTATCTGATGATCATGATCATAGAACAAAAGATTGCAAAGGATTGTTTAATGACCTTGACGTAACAAACCCGAGCAACAATTACGTTTCTTCTGTCAGCGAATTTGCGAACATTTAGGCAATAAAAAAATCATCAAAATGTTTTGTTTTCCACAGCATTAGAGTCCTATTTCGGCTGATGGGGTCGTTGTCGGCACAGGTATTACAGAAATGTACCCTAGCCAAAATCAAAAACGCTTTAAAACATATTTTGACAAATTCTCGATTAAAAATTTGAAACCTGAACAAAAGAACATTCTGAAATGCCTTATGGGATGTCCTCAGATCTTGTTGAGCAGTAGCAAGAACTAAGATCTGATAAATAAATGAGATTGATTACTGTTTTACCTGTGCCAAAAAGACCCCTTCACTCGGCCCTATTTCGTTGACTCTCTCACTGTTTCATGACACATTTTAAAACATGTGGACAGTTTTCGACCTCCTGAGGTCAAATATCTCACTGTTTCTCCTATCATTAGTTTTTGGTATATGAATCAACGACCTGCTTTCCAAACGCGCACCAGTGCGGTGAGTTATGTCCCCTAGATTGTCAAACGATTGGGACCGGAAGTGACGGTCAGCGGTTCTCCTGGGAAGGAGGCGGTCCTGCTCGATCTTCAGAACCAGGGAAGCTGGATCAACAGGGAGTTTATTTTTCATCCTTAATTTGTAGAAAGTATGCTCACGTTCCACTGTCTTCTTCAGCTTACAGAGTTTATTACGGGTTAATAGCTGCTCCTGAATTTGTTTCTGGTCTTCAAGAAAGTCATTCACAAGAGATTTGTCAAACGAAGGGAAGTAATTCATGACATCCGAACCATTTTTGTCATCCGCCTTATGTTTCTCTTCGATTGATTTCGAAATTCCTGTTTGAACCAGAAATCCACTGTTTGGTAGTTTGGGCATAACGGGAAGATTGTGTAATCTGTTTTCCGACAAGTCACTTTTGTCTCTGTCCGTGACTCTTGCACGATTAAGAATTCTGTTCCCTTTAGTACAATCAGGAACACGTTCTTCAGGCTTTTCATCCTCTGCATCATCTTCTTCGATATCGTCGTCCTTGGTCGTGTCAGCAATAGCAACACGCAACATATCGTCAAACCGTTTCAAGGAATCGGTGATATTTTTCTGATTTTCGAAAGCCATTGACCATTTTCTCAAGATAACTCTTTTCTGGTTTTCAACATCAATCTCGGCCCGGGAGGCGTCGATGTCCAACAGAGTCAACTGTCGCTTCAATGCTTTCTTTTCATATTTATTATATCGATAGATAGCTTCGCCCGTTTTGCTTTTTGACACACTGATTGCTCCCTTCAGAATCCGTATCATTGCCAGCGTCTTTCTTTTATCGGTGGCCCCTCCATCAAGGGTATACAGAGACTCCACACACGTCTCCATGGATTATCGGATTAGGATGATCTCTGCAGCGATGCCTGGGCAATTGTATCAGGTAAGGGATAACTGTCTCGGTTTAGCTTGATCAACACGACATTAAATCCAATCCTGGCTCCAGTAGACTTAGTCTGTTTGTATCCGTGGATTAACCTTCCTCTGTGTTTTTCAATGAAGAACCTCCAGCAATGACGTTTTGCCTTGAGTCCTTTTTTGTTGGATTCGTCCCTGCTAAGTCCTTAGCCTGAAAATAAGTGGCGTATTGATATATTAATTGATCAAAATATTACCTTTCTTCAAAGATATTTATTTTTTTATAAAAAGGTTTGTATTCCATACATACAGAGTTACGAACACATGTTTCCCATGGAGACGTGAATGTAGTCATCTTCCCGAGGCAAGTTGAAACTGGACTTTTAAAGTCAGTTAATTCTATTGCCTCGGGAAGTTGGAATGTAGTTTGAATGCTGCGGATCTGTTAATTCTGGAATATGCTTTAAAAATGCTGAATTTCTCTTTGCGCTATAAGAGGAATGTAAAAATGTACGTAAGATATATCACATTCTTGAACTATAAATATTCCTTTAATATACTTGTACATTGTTTTTTACACACCAAGATCACTGTTAACAAAAGTTTTTGTTTTGTTTTACATGTATAATGCTTTTCGGTAGTTCCCCAAGAAAGATTTCAAAAGAAACATGATGAATTTCAAAGTCACACTATTTGTGTATCGCAACTGTTTGAGTATATAAATGGAAAGAAAATGCTTCCAAAAACATTTACCGATCCAAATTCGCACGCGTCACATATACAACAACACCCGCAAATATTCCTTTCAACTTATTTCATCGGAATGTAACGGGTGGTTCGACTGTTGATGCACTATAATTGCCCTTGGTCCAATGACACATCATGATGACCCGTTCAATATCAAACAAACAAACAAACAATAGTATCGCAATAATAAACTTTCTAAATTCACGCGTCCGCTTGCCCGAGACAACTAAATTGTGCTGAGGACAAGCTAAGTACATGTATGCATGGTAGCACTCGCTGACTAGTAGCATTTAAGGACTCAAATGTTGAATCCGTTCTCAGTGCTTCATTTTTCCCTAAACTTTGGAGCTAATTAAAAATGACAGTAAATATAAATATAGTTAACACATTCGTCCTGTTGAGGCAGGACTAGGTACAAACTCTGAGGAATTGTGAAATACAATTTACACTACTCTTCTGGACTAGTTTTGGAAAAAGCAACGAATTTCAAAGGCTGAATTATATCTTGACTCGGATACAATATCTCTCTGCGTAGGTATCGTATCAGAGTAAAAAATCTAATTTTAGTGAGGTTGCCATAATTTGAATACCCTCGCAAGTGACGTCTGCAAACACGCACACGCACACGCACACGCACACGCACACTTTCGTTGATATCTAATTGCTATCCCTCCAAAATTCAAAATAGAAGTCCAAGTGAAACCAACCTGTATTCGCTCTGACTGCTTGAGAGTAACTAACAATCTGATCAATTTCACGTGTGTAAATAACTGGCAAAGATAGAACAAAACATCACGTGACTGATTAGCCGACTTAATGTGGAGGGTCTGCATTAATATTCTACCTTTGAGACAAGGGCGCCTGATAAACAACAGGTGTTCAGTGTTGCCAAATGTTTGTAGCGAGTCGCCTTGCTAACTTGGGCATTAGCCTGTGTTTGTATGTTTTTGTTAAACGGATGTTGGTCTCTGGAGCTACTTGATCAATGAAGATTTTGATTGGTGCTATTTAAATGTCTTAAAGAGTAGAACAACTGTTCAAAATGTATTCTTTTGGTACTGAGTCGTTATGAAAGAATCTGTATAAGCAATGATATAATAGCCATGGGGGGGGGGGGGGGGGGGGGGGGGATTCGCTGTGCAGGGTTGCGTCCCTTGGGGCACGCCAGAAACCTATGATTGTGGGATCGAATCCCGGTTCGCACCAATTATGTTTCTAGGTTTGTCAGCACCATACCCGTGCTCGTGGGTTTCACCGAAGTGGTAAACGTCTGATACCTGCATCACTTCGGGCTTTTCTCCCACATTAAGCTGACACGCCGTGATGTAACTGGAATAATGTTAAAAGCGGCGTTTAACCCAACTCACTCACTCACTCACTATAATAGCCATGAGGTGTGTGTGTGTGTTCTTTTTCTATAACAAACAATTAACCGCCCACCGTCTCTTCGACGCCCAAGCCATTGTAATTCTACTAATTATTGTTGCAGACTACCTGAACTTATTAATTTACCAATGTGAATTCACAAAGTGTCAACATTTGAGAAAAACACAATTAAACAGCTTTCAATAACGATCAAGTCACGTGATGTGATCAACACATGTTATCTTCAGCTACTCCTTCGAATCGTAATGGTAGGGTTGTCTAGTGGTTAAAGCGTTCCCTCGTTTCTCCTAGGGCCCGGGTTCAATTCCCTACATGGGTACAATGTGTGAAGCCCATTTCTGGTGTCCCCCGCTGTGATATTGCTGTACTATTGCTAAAAGCGGCGTAAAAACATACTCACTAATTAGTGGACCGGGGGTTCTTTATAAAGAACGGTTATAAACTGTCTGATAATAGAACAACATATGCAAAAGATAAGGATGCTAAATAAATAGCACACAGACGCATGTAAAAACGACGTTTGATTTATCAACAAGTCCCCTCTCTATTGGGTGAACCTTTCACCTGTGTAACTCCACGAACAAGGACCTGTATTGTGTGTGTGTGTGTGTGTGTGTGTGTATTAACGTTTATCCGATATTGTTATTGCCCTCGCCACCCTGATCTCCCGTAATCCCGGGTATGGAACATCGACGTAACTCCAGCTAAGGTTGTTGTTTTCTTGGGTCTCAGTGATTACCACGTTCTTTACATATACACCCGCATCACCTTCCATCATGTTATGTGTGACACGTGATCCCACCTGACGTGTTTGTTGACAGTGAAACTCGTTAATCCAGACGGTGCCTTTTCCGAATGGAATTCGATCGTCCGGATTAACGAACGATAAGTGTTTTTTGTTTGTTTGTTTGTTTGTTTATTTGTTGTTGGAACGCTGCACCCAGTAATAATCAAGCTGTTTTTTACGGTTACTGTGTCCGCTCACTGTTTAATTGTTTATGTTTTGTGTATGTCTCGTGGGACTACCCGTTAAAGCCGACAATATGTACTGTGGGATTTACAGCACTCTTCTGTAGTTCTCCGGTTGGCTACAAATCATTAAAATCTACACACCAATCTCTTCCTCATTCACTTGTCTCCAAGAACGTATACTTTATTTCATCGAACGTGAACTTTGAATAAGGATTCCATGCAGACGGTACAGGTTTTGGAAATCAAGATGGCGACCCCTACGAAAACGCCACCGTTCTTTTCTGATATCCTTATTCCGAATTCACTTTCTGTGATTTACTTCATTATAAAATAATATTACAACAATGTAGCTATTACTTGAAAAGATTAATTATGAAACAATATTAATATATTTACCACTGTAGATATATCACCGTCAACAGTATTATTTATGGCACTATGGTAGTGTCAACTTAATACCCCTTGTTCCTTAAAAACAATACTCGCTCACTCAATTTAGAGGTGCTGATACACCTGGATGATACCTAAAGACTATTATCATAGTGAGTGAATGAGTATGGTTTAACGCCGCTTTTAGCAATATTCCAGCAATATCAAGGCGGGGGACACCAGTAATGGGTTACACACATTGTACCCATATGGGGAATCGAACCCGGGTCTTCGGCGTGACGAGCGAACGCTTTAACCACAAGGCTACCCCACCGCCCTTCTACTATATAACAAACTAGATACAATGTATACATACGCGGATCTCAAGAGAGGAGCAGGGATTCGCTCTCCCGAAAATCCATCCCACTAGACCCCACCCCCACCCCTCCCTAAACTAAAAAGCTGCATCCACGCTTGGTGTACATCTGATGATTGAAATGACGATAGAGGCGAAGCCGTGTCCGCAGATTTTACGTGCGACTCCCACAATGCATTTTGTGTGGCTCGTTTTGTTTGACGCCGCGGCTATGTTTGAGAACGAAGCGACCTCAGCTATAGCGATTGTTACGCTTGCAAGCGGCTGAAAGCGCACCGTTGTAAGGCGAATCGATTGCAAGCGATTGGCGCTTTGTAACGAACCCCTCATGTCTCTACTTGAGATCAGGAATTTTTTCTATATTTTCTAAAACTATGAGCATCATGAAGAATAACAACTCGGAGTTACGAATTATCTGTCCCTCGAGAATTTAAGTTGAAATTTCCTCGCCAAGACTCGACGATAAACGTTGTTCCTTGTAGCCTATTCTGCAAATATACAACTGCATTGAGTAAGTGCCGTGAAGTCTGATTAAAGGTCTCGTTCAAGCACTTAAATAGTGACGTGCATGCACGTGTGTGGGGGGCCGCTTGTACTAGTCCGGACTGACTGACTGATATAGAAGATTTAACGTGCGCTTTCCAACTGCAGCGTATTTCGCACACGGGCCTGGCCAGACCATTTAGTGTATTCCGAGAAGGGTGAAAGTGGTGTGTGCAACACAAGAGGGGGCTTTTAGGGGTTGCTTATATCGATTTTTTGAAATTTTAAAATTTGGAATTAGTCCGGACTAACGCCGCCTGTTTTATACAGCTTCCCGAGGCAAGGGAGTTAACTGACTATAAAAGTCCAGTTTCCACTGTGTGTGTGTGTGTGTGTGTGTGTGTCTCTCTCTCTCTCTCCCTTAGTGTCGAGCGCCAGGTAGGGTAACAACAAATACCATCTTTTAACGTCTTTTAATATGACGCGGTCGGGGTTCGAACCACTGACCCTCCGCTCTCCGGCCCGACGCTCTATCCACTACAGCACGGAGATGCATAACCATATTTAACCATGGATGAGAATAAAGACAATCAACATTCCGTATTAGGTATTCATGTTTATTATGAACATTGCACATTATCAACAATATTCTTAAATCACAATCAATAAATACACGTACATTCACAATATAAATAGTTTGACATATCCGTGACATGATGCAAAATATATGTCTTCTTCAAAAAAGTTCATACCACAACAACCCGTGGTATAAATAACATGAGCTTGAGTGAGTATGGTTTTACGCCGCTTTTAGTCCATATCATGGCGGGGGACACGAGAAACGGGCTTCCAACATTGTACCCATGTCGGGAATCCAACCCTTCGACTAGCGAACCAACGTTTTAACCACTAGGCAGTCCCATTACCCTACATGAGCTTTAAATTTCACTAAATGATGACACAATCCATTGTATAACAACGGTATTATGGTTAAATGTAATTGCAAATGTGTTAGTTGGACAAACTATAACGCAAAAGTATGAAACTATCAATCTTGGAACCAAAAGTAATTATCAATAGCATCTATTTTATCTAAAGATTCAAAAACAGAAAACATGAAATAGCAAAAACAGTGCTTGATGTCCATGTTGCGGATGTTTGTCAAGAATTATCAGTATAGGTATTATGATGATGATGATCATCATCAATATCATCATCATCATTACAATCATCATATGTACGTACCACAGTCCAAACTGTTTGGTTTTCTTGCTAGTTCCTTTCAACGAAACGGAGCGAAAACGGACGCTAGCAAAAACCGTCAGCTTGTGGTATATCAGTAGACGTTGTTTATAAAATAAAAACAAAAAAATATAACTAAATAACGTAAACAATTAAATCAACAGTAAAATAAATAAAGCTCTGTCTCAAGAAAAAGAAAACAGCGTCATATAAAATGTAAAGAAAAAATGAATCAAAAGTAATCAGCCGTCGCTTCGTTAAAATGCATAACCATTTTCTAGTAGCCTCATGAAGTAAATAATCAAATCATATAACATTTGGTTTAAGCACCGAAATACTGTTTATTGTAACTCTTGTGTAGTTCTCTGAAACAGTTTTGACGAAAAGAAATGAAAAATGACAAAAAAATCGAAATACCTTCGCTAATTGTTTTCGTGCCAAAATTAGGCACATAATTTTAAAATATATTTTATGAGTGAACTATTTAACAAATAATAGTTTTACATTCCAAAATTCGTCTTGTATAGAAGCGCATTGTTACCAACAACAGCGAGTAACTGTCGCGGGTGACAGTTTTAATGCTAATTAACGTATGGGTTCTGGGTATCTCTCAAAACATAATGGAGATATAATACCCTTGATAATCGAGGATGTCACACATCTGACATATGTGCATCCATGTTGATGAATCAGAGATATTTACCTTACTGTCTCACTGTACACGTTGTTTTTTTAACGCTGTGATACTGTCGATGCACATAAAAAGGCTCTGTGAAGAAATTGTTACTGTAACTGCACATTTAGTAAGAAAACAAAAAGCTTAACAATTGCAATATATTTCAACATGAAACAAATTTGAGATTGCCCAATGCATACACCTTGATTATTTGACGAATTTTAGCACGATAAAGCAACACAAAGTAAATAATTAGCATACTTATAGTAGAAAGTAGCAAAATAACATTGTGATAGCCGAAAGCAGCCAAGTAGCACTGTTTATAGCAAAAAGAGGCAAATTATAATACTTGTAGCAGAAAGTAACACATTAGCATTGTAACAGCAGAAAGGAGCCAAGTAGCATTGTTATAGCAGAACGTAACAAATTAGCATACTTGTAGCAGAAAGTAAGTAACACATTAGCATTGTTAGAGCAGAAAGTAGCAAATAAGCATTGTTGCGGTAGAAAGTAGCCAAGTAGCATTTTTATAGCAGAACGTAGCAAAATAGTATACTTGTAGCAGAAAGTAGCCAAGAAGCATTGTTAGACCAGAAAGTAGCCAAGTAGCATTGTTATAGCAGAAAGTAACACATTAGCATACTTGTAGCAGAAAGTAACACATTAGCATTGTTACGGCTACAGGTGCTGGGGACTGGTCAAGCACAGAAAGTAACACATTAGCATTGTTACGGCTACAGGTACTGGGGACTGGTCAAGCACAGAAAGTAACACATTAGCATTGTTACGGCTACAGGTACTGGTGACTGGTCAAGCACAGAAAGTAACACACTAGCATTGTTACGGCTACAGGTACTGGTGACTGGTCAAGCACAGAAAGTAACACATTAGCATTGTTACGGCTACAGGTACTGGTGACTGGTCAAGCACAGAAAGTAACACACTAGCATTGTTACGGCTACAGGTACTGGTGACTGGTCAAGCACAGAAAGTAACACATTAGCATTGTTACGGCTACAGGTGCTGGTGACTGGTCAAGCACAGAAAGTAACACATTAGCGTTGTTACGGCTACAGGTGCTGGTGACTGGTCAAGCACAGAAAGTAACACATTAGCATTGTTACGGCTACAGGTACTGGTGACTGGTCAAGCACAGAAAGTAACACATTAGCATTGTTACGGCTACAGGTACTGGTGACTGGTCAAGCACAGAAAGGACATCAATGAAATCTTTGGTTTCGTCGTATATAATGTTATGAACATGTTAGAAAGATGAAGTTCTATCGTTCATTAATAGGTATGCGTGTTATGATAATGAATTTGATGAGCATAGTAGTAATTAAAGAGAAACTGAATCTTAAGCACAATTCAAGTCCACAGTGTCCATTAGGTTGTAAGGACGAGGTAGGATAAAGGCCTATATTGGGTCCACGAGATCTGCATAATTTAAGAATTTAGCAAAAAATTTAGAAATTGTTATGAATATTATTAGGTATATGTTCATATGAATGAGAACTCACTTTATTTCAATAATTGTTTGGGACTTGGACTTCTTACGTGGTCAGATAAACACATATGGCTAAAATCTGTCAAAAACGGCTATTTTAGAGGTTTTCATTTACAAAATTCCAAAATTTGAATATGAGCAAATCTTTGGCCACAGCTGATTTTCGCAGAGGTACATAAAAAAACATTACAAACATATGGTTAAACATCAATCTTGGGCCAAGGGCCCACTCATATTTATACTACCTCGTCCTTTTAATAATTCAGATTGTAGTCTGATGTCAAAGTAACTCAAACAGTAGTATCATTTTGGAGTTGTCTGCCCATTATATACGTCTTTGAAACGGCCCAGGCATGGCCCACACATCAATGTGTAACTACACTGTTACCTCGACGAATGTTTTCAGTGTGTAGATATTGATAAGATTTGTCAAATTCAATACATAGGTTGCCATACCTGCAATGATAGAGTCACGATCATGCAATATGCAATGTCAGCAGATTTCAACTCGATCAGTAAATAACCATAACTGAAGTAACGCCTGCCGGTTTGAGTCATATTCACCACCACCTCGGCAGGGACACGAAGTACATAAAGGTCTAATACACTGTCTTGAATCGACCCCGATCCTCGTCATGACAAGCGAACGCTTTACCACCGGGCTTCTTCACAACAATCATCTTCCCGAGGCAAGTGAGTTAACTATCTTTAAAAGTCCTGTTTCAACCTTTGCCGAACTAGGCTGGTTTTATGGAGTTATGCATAGTCCAATCAAAATCGCGTAACGAAATCGAAATCCGGTTTGTAAACTGTCACGCAGATTTCGGTCGAATGCAGGATTTGCAAAGGATGTGCACCGCCAACTCGGGGTCAGCAGATATTTTCTAAATCTTTTCATGTTTTTAATCAAGGTGCTCACGTGATTCGATGCACTTTGCGATGTAAGACCCGTTTTATCACAATATAGATCTTGATTATTGATCACATCGTCTTGAATGGGCGCCGCCATTTTGTTTGAAGTAAATGCAAGTGATTACAAGAGGTCGAATCTGATTGGTCAATAGGAGAGGAGACATAACTCACAATAACCACTGGTGGCGCTACTATCGAGCCCAGAAATTCTAGTCTAGTTCGACAAGGGTGGAAACTGGACTTTCATAGTCAGTTAACTCCTTTGTCTCGGGAAGATGCACAACAATTGTTCACCGAGCACATGGTGTCATCACTGATTTTGAATGATCAATTCATATAAATGTCACTGCTATTTTGCCCTTTACGCACAATTGAATTTATTTCGGCAGATAATCGAGACTGATTATTCTCTGTCATTGGCGTTTTGTATTTAGATGATCTACTCCAAACTAGTTACCCTATACCTATATAGATAATTTCATGCAGAGCACTGATATAATGCACAAACGCACTTTGGCACCACGGATCAAAAGTCATGATGTCACTGAGTTCCCCCAAACAGAAAAAATATCACCACGGTCGATTTTTTACAACACTGAGAGCACTTTGAATTTTCGGCTGCACCGCCTCAAGAGATGCTGATCCCAAGGGGGGTGCTTAGCGGGAGGAACTGCTTGTCCTTCTGCTGCTTCTTGGGTCGGGCCACATCGCGGCGGGTGTTAACGTACGATTTTACATCGGAGAAGTCAATGAACTGAACTTTAGCCACTTGTACCGGAGGAGAACCGTTTGAGCGAGTTACCTCCCCTTTCAGCGTGACCCTGCCGGGAGTTTTGGTAGATGGGAGTCTTTGGCTGGAGCTACCGCATGACGGGTACCTGTTTATTGACCGACTAGGGCGGTTGGGGTCACCTAGAAAGGGGGCATTGTGGATGAACGTGTCTCCTTTAAAAAGAAACACCGCTTGGCTCATCGGCAAGGTTTGGTTGCTCGGCAGGACCTTCTTTGGTAGGAAAACAGAGCTTGATCTGTCTGCACACACAGAAGCAACCCTTTCCCCTCCAACGATCGTCACCGAGCGACGGAAGGACGGCATTGGCGGAAGTTCAATGTTTACCGACGGGATGGTGGACCGACACGTGATGACCCGCGGATTGGCTGATTTCAGATCTGATCGGCTCATCGTCATACGACCTCCAGTTCTTGGAAGAGACGTCTTGGCCCGAGGTTCACTGACGGTCATTTCCGGTGTGCTTTGGCCCGGGTCTGAAGAACTGGAGTCCAGGAGTTTGGGATTTCGTGCCCATTGGTTGTAGTACTCGTGGGTGACAGGGGTGATCCCCAGAAGCACCTTGTCTCTGCAGATTGAACGGGGTGGGGATTTGGTCATGGCTGGCAGGTGTTCTGGGACCACACAGCGAGGAAGCAGTATCAGTGGTTGGGGAGCATCCTCCTCCACGATGGTGCCATTTTGGAAAGATTCGTTGTCCCGCAAATATGCTGCTTGTCTGAAACCAAACAAATAAGTTAAATTCAAATAAATGATGACGTCTAAAGCAACACTTTTTTTATTCATGATTGGGGCGGTCGGGTAGCCTAGTGGTTAAAGCGTTCGCTCGCCAAGCCGAAGACCCGGGGTCGATTCCCAACATGGGTACAATGTGTGAAGCCCATTTCTGGTGTCCCCCGCCGTGATATTGCTGGAATATTGCTAAAAGCGGCGTAAAACCATACTCACTCACTCACTCACTTAATCATTATTGATTATTACTGCAATACTAATGCGAGGGGACACAATGAATGGGATTCTTTCTTAAATTTCCAGGTACCTACTACTTGTCCTAAAATGGGGATCAGATGGTCGCAACCTTTGCCCTCCCAATCCCCATTTTTTGATAAGCAGCAACAACTGGGATTTTCTCTAACCCAGTACCCCTACGGGCAATCCGGAAGTAAGCATGTCCAAGATTAACACTGAACGTGCCTTTCCGTGCGTCTTTCACTTGAATTAAAAACGATGTTATATCGTAGTTGTTCATATGTCCCGGACATCCCGAATGAGGGTATTTTTGAGGGTATCATTGACATCAAGCGTATATACATACATAATTCATTCGTTATTTAATTCTCTTCATTTAATCGTTGGAATATCGTGCCATTATTTTTTACTGGAACATGTGTGAGTAAGTTTGGTTTGACGCCGTCTTCAACAATATTTCAGTTGTATCACGGCGTGTCTGCTTTGCGTGGGAGGAAAGCCCGAAGTAGTGTAGGTTCTTTTACACTTTGGTGGAACCCATGAGCATGGGTATAGTACCCAGTCAAGGCGCTGTGGCTGTAGGTTCGAATCCCACATTCGTCCTGATTATGTTTGTGTGTGTCGGCACCATTACTCGAGCTCGTCTAAAACCTGCCCCAGTTTCGGCTTTCCATCACATCAAGCTGACACGCTGTCATATAACTGAAGCGGCGTTAAACCCAACTCACTCACTCGAAGGCTTTACTAATGAAACATGACGCGTGGCATTGCAAACTAGTAATTGAAACTTTTTTATTAACACTAATCGTAAATTAGCAGGATTAGCAGATAACGGAAATTACGGGACAACACCTAAAGCGTTTTTTAAATTAGTTGAAAAACACTCAATGACTTTCTAACAGGGGCGGTCGGGTAGCCTAGTGGTTTAAGCGTTCGCTCGTCACGCCTAAGACCCGGGTTCGATTCCCGTGATATTGCTGGAATATTGCTAAAAGCGGCGTAAAACCATACTCACTCACTCACTTTCTAACATTTTCGACGTTGTATATGCCATCCAATACATATCCAATACAATCCAATATATACCAACTTCGAAACAGACCAACATTCACAAGTATAGGATGCAAGTCATTCTCAAGCAGGACAGGCAATCAAGCGTCTAAAAATAAGCTATTACGGTAGACTTAAGGACGATTCCGACCTACAAATTATTAATTTAGCATAGTATATTGATAGAAGCAGACGGACCTATAAATGTATTACCGTTATCTACACGCCTAAGACGCAGTAGTATTTGAAGATCAAGCCATCTTGTGGATAACGGTCCATGGCGGACAAGCGCTGTCGGTATTCCACGTCAGTTATTGTTGTTAGATTTAACTGTACGGTCTATTTTCACTGTGAGTCCTACTTTTAAACAATCCAGGGCCTTCTTAACAGTGTATGCATACATATTGTTTTGATATACACCGCGGATGGTTTACTTAAAGGACATTTTATTTTGCTGTGCTTGCTAAGCCATTAAAGTACTTTAGTGGCTACTCAAATTTCATTGAGAATCTTAATAATTTATTAACGCAGTCGCCGAGAGGCACTTAGTGTAGAGTTACCCTCTGTTCTACATAGTATGTGTGTACTTCGGGAACGGTTCAAAAGTTCAGTGCAGGATAAAAAAATCCAAATATTTTGTAAAGCGAATCCTATTTCACAAAGTTTCATAAATATGGCGGTAAGTCAGAGCTTACTCGTTTGTTGAGTTTATACCTGTGATTGAGACGCCGTTGAGTAACATTTGACGATTAGAGCTGATATTGAAATGGACTTGTACCACCCCCTTCTCAGTTCTATCAGCCTATACTCATCCCTTTCACGGCTCTAGTAGCCTATACTCGCCCCTTCTCAGCTCTAGCAGCGTATACTCGCCCCCTTCTCAGCTCTAGCAGCCTATACTCATCCCTTTCACGGCTCTAGTAGCCTATACTCGCCCCCTTCTCAGTTCTATCAGCCTATACTCATCCCTTTCACAGCTCTATCAGCCTATACTCACCCCCTTCACAGCTCCAGCAGCCTATACTCATTCCCTTCCCAGCTCTAGCAGCCTATACGTGTCCCCTTCTCAGCTCCAGCAGCCTATACTCATTCCCTTCTCAGCTCTAGCAGCCTATACTCGTCCCATTCTCAGCTCTATCAGTCTTTTCTCGTCCCATTCTCAGCTCTATCAGTCTTTTCTCGTCCCCTTCTCAGCTCTATCAGTCTTTTCTCGTCCCCTTCTCAGCTCTATCAGCCTATACTCATCCCTTTCACAGCTCTATCAGCCTATACTCACCCCCTTCACAGCTCCAGCAGCCTATACTCATTCCCTTCTCAGCTCTAGCAGCCTATACTCGTCCCATTCTCAGCTCTATTAGCCTATACTCGTCCCCTTCTCAGCTCTGTCAGTCTTTTCTCGTCCCCTTCACAGCTCCATCAGTCTTTTCTCGTCCCCTTCTCAGCTCTATCAGTCTTTTCTCGTCCCCTTCACAGTTCTATCAGCCTATACTCATCCCTTCACAGCTCTATCAGCCTATACTCACCCCCTTCACAGCTCTAACAGCCTTTACACATCCCCTTCACAGTTCTATTAGCCTATACTCGTCCCTTCACAGCTCTATTAGCCTATACTCGTCCCATTCACAGCTCTATTAGCCTATACTCGTCCCCTTCTCAGCTCTAACAGCCTTTACACATCCCCTTCACAGTTCTATTAGCCTATTCTCGTCCAATTCTCAGCTCTATTAGCCTATACTCGTCCCCTTCTCAGCTCTAACAGCCTTTACACATCCCCTTCACAGTTCTATTAGCCTATACTCGTCCCATTCACAGCTCTATCATCCTATACTCACCCTTTCCCAGCTCTATCAGCCTATACTCACCCTTTCCCAGCTCTATCAGCCTATACTCACCCTTTCCCAGCTCTAGCAGCCTATACTCACCCTTTCCCAGCTCTAGCAGCCTATACTCGTCCCATTCTTAGATTTGAGGGTCCCTTAATGCGTGAGGGTATCCTTGTAGAATTATTGTTAGTTAACCATCTGATAAGTTTATTCCATGGGCTATATGATAGTCAACAACCCACCCGTAAGGAATTAAGATTTATTTTCCAACATTGAACTTTTGAACTGGTCCTTGAGAATGCTGGCATTGTCCCCCTAATGCACTTGACGCCTTCCTGTGTTTTCTAACAACAAACTGACGCAATATTTACACGAACATAAAAATGAACATACCGGTAATTTATTTTGATATTGAAAATGACTTGCAATTTTGAGTTGCAACACGTTACTCTACAAGATAGAGTAGATTGTGGCCACCTTAAAAGTAACTAATCAATCAAATTATTTCGGTTATACTGTCTCAGGCCCACGTACAATCGATAACAAATATAATTTTAACATGCGACAGCATATCAAATTAGTTACAGCTATGAAGTTCGGAGACTGACAGTGTCTTTTGAAAATATCCAAGCCACTAAACCTTTTAAAAAATATGTCAAATGGATTCCCATTGTCCGTTCTTGGGGAAATGATTTTAAATAGGTTTTTTTAAAGAATAAAGCTAAATATATTAATATTACTTGAAATTCCGTGATTCTTAAAATCATTTGTATTGTGGAAATAGTTATTACTGCATGAATTATGCAAAGAAGCAAAATCAAGACAACTAAACTGAACAGTATTAGTATCCATGTCTCTGTGGTGAAAATATTCTATATACATGTGAATATTTCATCATCATTAATAGTCAATAAGACGGTACTAGACTCGAGTTTCAGTTGCCATGACAACGCGATGTTATTGAATGTAGTTAATTATATAGCCAAGGTATATGGTTACTAGGGCGGTGTCTGGGTGTCTTCTGAAATTGACTTCTGAAATATCTAAACGAAATTATTTCTACTTGATATAAATGGATGAGCGAGTTATCAACATCATAACCAGTAAGTGGGTTATTGTTAGGAAGAATATACCCTGTCTTGTGTTTATTCAAAGATTGAATTAAACCAAATTGAAAGTCACCAGATCATTGATAAATGTGGCATTCACGAGCTGATCATACTTTTCTCTCAGACACAATTAATACAACTAACAAAATTATAACTGACAATGTGAATGTTTAATTTGACATATTGAACAGTCGTCACATATTGAACTAAAGTCATAATTAATAAATAAACATATTTCTCCTCACAAAAAAATCAAGACAAGGATAAAACAATCATTTCTCGATTCCGTGTTTCCAACTGTTACGAATACATTTGAATTATGAGTCTTCATTGATATAATAAGTTGTTTTTCAGATTGAAATAATATTTTCAATTATTATTTTCAAAAAAGAATTAAGGACACACCTTCAAATAACCAGAGACCATATAATAGAATATAATCAATTATATGGTCTCTGATATAACTACACAATGTATAGAGTTTACATACCTCAGTTCAGATGGTAATTGACGACTAAATCTAATCAGAGAATACAGCCGTCTGTCTCTCTCCTCTCTCTGGGTTTCTGTTTCTAACGAGAACACAATATTTTCCCCTATATCTGTTTTCGAACCTGGCAACGTGCCCCGCTATTTGTCCGTGTTTAGCTGTTTGGTATCCCAGCTAACTATGGAATACGAGATTCTGCTTTCGGTGATCAGTATCAATTATTCACACGAGTCAAGAGATCTTGTGCATCCCGTTGGGTGGATAGCCGATTCAATTT